ATTGGAAAAGACCCTGATGCTGGGAGGGATTGGGGGCAGGAGGAGAAGGGGATGACAGAGGATGAGATGGCTGGATGGCATCACCGACTCGATGGGCATGAGTTTGAGTAAACTCCGGGAGTTGGTGATGGACAGGGAGGCCTGGCGTGCTGTGATTCACGAGTCTCAAAGCGTCAGACACGACTGATCGACTGAACTGACTGAACTGAACATTCCTTGGCACTGTCTTTCTTTGGGATTGGAATGACAACTGACCTTTTCCAGTCCTGTGGCTACTGCTGAATTTTCCAAATTTGCTAGAATATTGAGTATATTCATCTTTTAGCATCATCTTTTAGGATTAGAAATAGCTCAACTGGAATTCCATCACCTCCACTAGCTTTATTTGTAGTGATGCTTCCTAAGGCCCCCTTGGCTTCACTCTTCAGGATGTCTGGCTCTTGGTGAGTGTGATCACACCATTGTAGTTATCTGGGTCATGAAGATCTTTTTTGTAGAGTTCTTGTGTGTATTCTTGCCACCTCTTAATATCTTCTGCTTCTGTTAGGTCTGTACCATTTCTGTCCTTTATTGTGCCCATCTTTGCATGAAATGTTCCCTTGGTAACTCTAATTTTCTTGAAGAGATCTCTTAGTCTTTTGCATTCTCTTGTTTTCCTCTATTTCTTTGCACTTATCACTGAGGAAGGTTTACTAGCTCTCCTTGCTATTCTTTGGAACTCTGCATTCATATATCTTTTCTTTTCTCCTTTGCCTTTCACCTCTCTTCTTTTCTCAGCTATTTGTGAGGCCTCTTCAGATAACCATTTTGTCTTTTTTCATTTCTTTTTCTTGGGGATGGTTTTGATCACAGCCTCCTATAAAATGTCATGAACCTCTGTCCATAGTTCTTCAGGCACTCTATCAGATCTAATCCCTTGCGTCTATTTGTCACTTCCACTGTATAATCATAAGGGGTTTGATTTAGGTCACACCTGAATGGTCTACTGGTTTTCCCTACTTTCTTCAATGTAAGTCTAAATTTTCAATAAGGAGTTCACGATCTGAGTCATGATGTCACAGTCAGCTTCTGGTCTTGTATTTGCTGACTGTATAGAGCGTCTCCATCTTTAGATGCAAAGAATATGGTCACTCCGATTTTCATACTGACCATCTGGTGATGTCCATGTGTAGAGTCCTCTCTTGTGTTGTTGTCACAAAGCATTTAATCTATGCGCTTTTATTTAGTTCCATGTGCCAGGGTCCATACTCAGAGTTCTTAGACACAGTCGTTAATCCATTTCAGCATGTTGCTTCCTTGCCCCCAAGCTTCTCTTTCTCAAGTTAATGGTAGTTGCCTTGAAACCATCTGAAAGTATTGGAAATTGAAATGAACTTTTTGTCTGACTAGATGTCTTAATGCGAGGCTTCTAAGCAGCAAGTCTTGTCTCTTGCTATTGATGATACTGAAGCTGTTGGCTTATTAATCTACAAGGTCCAACATTTCTGGGCTCTTTATTCCCTTATTCTGCTTGCAAACCAGTAGATTCTGGTCTGAGCACATTTCTACTTTGTAATGCCTAGATAAAAACAGCAAGCAGCATTACAAATAATAAATGCTGGAGAGGGTGTTGAGAAAAAGGAACTTTCCTACGCTGTTGATGAGAATGTAAATTAATACTGGCACTATGGAGAATAGCATGGAGTTTCCTTTAAAACGAAAAAAGAGAGCTACCACATGATTCAGCAATCCTATTCCTGGACATATATGTGGAGAAAATCATCATTTCCAAAGTTACATGCACCCCAATGTTCATTGCAGCACTATTCACAATAGCCAGTATACAGAAGAAAGCTAAATGTTAACATATGAGTCCAGAGATGAATGAATAAAGAAGATGTAGTATATTTATAGGATGGAATACTATTCAACCATAAAAAATGAATTAAAGTCATTTGTAGCAACATGGATGGATATAGAGATGATCATATAATTATGATATTGTGTAGAATCTTAAACAAGAAAAAAGATGGAAATCCCTGGTGATCCAGTGGTTAGGATTCTGCAATGCTTCCACTAGAGGGGGCCTGATTCAATCCGTAGTTGGGGAACTAAGATCCCACAAGCTGTACACTGTAGTAAAAAAAAAAAAAAGATACAAAGGAACTTATATACAAAACAGAATTAGACCCACAGACATAACAGACTTATGGTTACCAAAGAGAAAAGGGGGGGGGATATAAATTAGGAGCTTGGATTATCGTATAACACCCTACTATATATAAAATAGATAACCAAAAGGACCTACTATATAGCATGAGGAACTGTAGTCAGTATTTTGTAATAAGTGAAAAGAATCTGAAATATACACATATATAACCGAATCACTGTGCTGTACACCTCAAACTAACACAACGTTGTAAATCAACTATACTCCAATTTTTTAAAAATTTAAAAACTTTGGGCAACTCATACATTCTGGATCATTGCAACCACCTTCCCTTACACTACTGGCACAGTAGGAATTGTGTCTGCCTTTCAAGTTATCACAGCATCAGTTCTACCAAAAGTTTTGCCATGGCAGAAGAGGAACCGCCGTATTTACAGCCAGTGATACCAGTTTCCAACTTCCTGCTATGCATCTACTAAGCCAATGCCTGTATTTTATTTTTCTATTTTATTTGTCACACCAGCGCAGCTTGTAGCTTTTTAGGTCCCTGACCAGGGATCAAACCCTGGCCCTTGGCAGTGAAAGCAAGGAGTCCTAACCACTGGACTGCCAGGGAATCCCTAGGTGTTTATCACTCCACTCCAAGGTACTGATTTCTCTATTGTGTGTTCGTCGCTCAGTCACGTCCAACTCTTTGCGACCCCATGAACCGCAGCACGCCAGGCCTCCCTGTACATCACCAACTCCTGGAGTCCACCCAAACCCCTGTCCATTGAGTCAGTGATGCCATCCAACCATCTCATCCTCTGTTGTCCCCTTCTCCTCCTGCCCTCAATCTTTCCCAGCATCAGGGTCTTTTCCAATGAGTCAACTCTTCGCATGAGGTGGCCAAGGTACTGGAGTTTCAGCTTCAGCATCAGTCCCTCCAATGAACATTCAGGACTGACTTAGCAG